TTTTTTTTTAGGTTTTTGAATAGCGTATTCGGTACAGAATTCAACCATTCCTCCGAAACGACGAATATACAAACTTTTTTTAAACCGCGCATTCGATTAATTGGGCGTAAATTCGCAATTGATTGAAAAAACTCGAAACGGTTTACATTATAACTTTCTTTATTTCACTTGTATTTCTACTATTATTACTGTACATATCATGAAACCGCCGTTCGAGCTTCCGAAAATTTCAGGACTATTATGTTTTTTTTAACGGTTGATCAAATTTTTGAGCAGAAACTTTACCATTACGCCGAAAAGCACAATGTAACGATGCATATCCTGGTTTCAATCAATCGCGTACAATGTTCGATTCAATTGTGCTTTGATTTTCAAAGATTTGACGGAAATCAAAGCAGAATTTTTGTGCCACATTATTTCAGTGTGATGTTCGGTAAATATATTCATAATTTCTCATCAAGATTTCCGAGAATGTCAAGAATATATCATCTGATTTATTTTTTATTTTTTACAAGAAGCTTTTGTACAAAAAACCGTTGATGCATTATTGGATTATATATTACAGTATCTGTTATTTTCTGGAAAAAGGTATGGAGCGAATATTCGAATTGATTGGAGTGAACAATTATTTATTGGACCGTAAATTATTCAAAGGTTCCATTACTTTCCACCGTTTAAAAAAAAAAAAGATTTGCCACGAAGGTGTGAAAAATACTGAACTTGGCGTTCCGCCACACCCAAGAACACGAATGCAGCAACTTGACCAAGATATTAATCCAGTGCAGGCAATGTACATCGAAAAGCAAATCACAGCAAGAAGTTCAATTGCTGGGTTTTAATGCTTCTATAAATGTTTTATTCAACACAAACTCTGTGGCACTGATGAAAAAGGCACACTTCAATGACTCATGCGAGCTCTCGCGCAGATTCAATCACAAAGCTCTTGATGGGGTTTTTTTTCAAAATGCATTTCCATATTTAAAAAAAAAAAACAAAGAATAAAAGCCCGTAGACTATTATTTCACACTTCAATGACTCATGCGAGCTCTCGCGCAGATTCAATCACAAAGCTCTTGATGGGGTTATTTTTCAAAATGCATTTCCATATTTAAAAAAAAAACAAAGAATAAAAGCCCGTAGACTATTATTTGGAAAAAAACAGAGAGCCTTAAAATATCTTTCTTGACAAACGGAAGAAAAGAAACTTGATAGAGCTGCGCAAAACATGACACGCAGTTCATGAATCAGGCGCAACAACGTGTCAAAACCGGCTGGCGCATTTTTGCACTTTGGACTGAGGAGAAGCAGATGAGAACTTGCAAACAAACCAAAGACCTTTGAAAAACAATTTCTTGACTAAGTGCGTATCATATTTTATGCAACTAACTGGAACCACGGTGTACATTTCACATCATGAAGTCACTTAATCTCTGCATAATATGATGAAGTAGACTTCTTCTAAATTGCCAGATTAAATTCAAGAAATAAGAAATGGTACATGTGGACCACGAAATTGCAAAAGCATGGCAAGTCTATCATTGATTGACTGATGAACAAACTTCATTTTCTGCTTATCAGCATTCACAAGGTTCAAACAATATTCCTACATCCAAACTCCCCACCTACATTCATCCAAACACATTCCATCACATCCCAATGAAAATAGAGAAATGAGCTGTTTATGGGTGTTGAAGAAAAGGAAAATACATCACAAAATGTACAAATGCACAACTGATGTAAATGCTTAAACCTTGTTCCCCTCACTAAATTGCAAAAAGAAAATATCAGTAATAACAATTAAATCATAATGCAAGTGACAAACACAAATCAAAGCACAAGGCGTTCAGCCTTCTCCCGGATAAGTTTTAGTCGATTGAACGATTTGTAGAGAATCTTTGAGGATAAATTGCAAACAGTTTATCTTGGCCCTTTAAGATTTTGGAAAGACACTTTATATCAAATTTAAAGAGTCCCAAATCTTTTTAAAACTCATTTCTGTAACTGTGGATTGCTGGTCTCTTATCAATCATCCTGCATATACACGTGATCATTTTTTTTAGACGAACATTCTTCTGGCATAGAGACACATTTAGTATCAAGGAAAAAACTCGAGGCATTCAGGGCCATGGAATCTTCCGAAAAAAAGTGCTTATGTAAGATTTCGTGACAGGAAAGTGAGAGTGCCTCATTGTATCACCGGCATCAAGGTCGACCAACCATTGTCCACTGTTGTTACGCATTATTCCCAGAGAAGTGCTACCGAACGCCGCAAATCGCTCGGAAGCTTCCTTGCGTGAAGAAAACAAGAATAAAACAAAAAAATCTTAGGTGTATGACCATTTATAATTTAAAGGAGATACACGCAGTATTTTTTTTTCTTCCTCTTTTGATCTAAGGAAATTTTAAGCAAGCACGTAAAGTACTTGGAAAATTTACACACGCGCAGAAAACCTCTTTGATTGAGTGCGTCACGGGTTATGCTACACTAAAAAAAGGCGGATTTATCTGTGCAAATATGAATTGAAACAAAAAGGGTCTGCTCATGATGCACAAATGCTTACTATATGCAGAATCAAAGGTGAGACAAAAATATAAGTCTGGACTATAGCTCCGCAGAATTTTCTGAATTATGGTTCAAATTTATCCCATTGAAAAGTGAACATACATGATTGAATCACTTTTGAGTCAATATTAATAACTTCATAGATGTGACTATTAGCAGCACGCATCAATTTGAAGAAGAAACAAAAACAAGAAATTTCCCATGAACTGTCTTACAGATCTTATATTTTGGGGCAGTCGAAGAAAAAATAAAGTTTTTTTCATCATGTGCAGTACTCTTACAGCAATATGCGTACAATACAAGCTATTTTAAAAGCTATATAAAAGCTATTTTAAAAATTTTCAACATACTTATTATTGGCTGCAGGAATGCCGGAAAATAAAAATGATATTTCTGGTCAGAAAACTGTGTATCCTAATTTCACACGGTCTGATGTAAAACAAACCTAAACGGCATTCAAATTATTCCGGCGAATCCCAAGAATTTAAAAACCCATGTGTTGCAACATAAGTCACTCTCGAATCGGCTTTTGAATGATAAAAATATCAGTGTTTTCTTCTCGTAGAAAAGAAATAAAACGACCTGCTGCAACACCCTTCAAGCACCTGTTGCTTATGAACTCCAAGCGCTTAGGAAAAAAGCTCAGTTTTCTATAAACAGCTATTTAAAAAGCCATAAACGTAAACGTTCGGTTTGAGAAAACAGAAACAAAAACTAAAGTATAAAAAAAACCCGAAGGCTTTTACTCCCAGTGCCATGGGTACACACACACACACACGCACACACATACACAAATAAAGTTTTGCCCTTTATTCTCAAGAGGGAAAAAAAATGATAACTTGTGCTGGCAGGAGTTTTTCAACGAAGGCTGAAAAATCGACACGGGCGTCATTCGCACGTCCATCAGAACTTCATCCGTGGGAACAACAAGGTCTCACGTGGGTTCTTGCGAAACCGTGGTTTGCATTCCCCTATAGCTGCCTCAAAAGCATACACAGGTGACCTAATCAACAGCAACACCAATTTGGTTTCATCGTTTCGATTAAGAAAAAAATCGTGGGAACAAATTACTTCGTTGTATAAACGCAGTTAAGCGGCATTCATCGCGGCGAGTAGTTGCACTATATCGTTTTAAATGACCTTTTGGTCCTTGAGCGAGTCTCTTTGTCTTTTGGAAATGAAAAATGAGAGATATTTCGAACGCTTACCTTATTTAGAAACGCTACTCGAGCTTCGGAATGAAAGACATTTTCGTCACGAAATAATTCCATCATACATCAAGGATTCCAAGAAACCTGAAGTTTAACTTCCGGAAGTGCCTCACATCCGATTTTGGAAAAAAGGAAAAAATTCTGGATTAAAAAAAGTCAAGCATTTTACAGATTGCAAAATTATTTACATTAATCTGTAGTAAACAGTAACCAAATTTTTCGTCCAAGAAACCGTGTCATTTAATAAAAAGATGAACGAGGAACTGGCATAAATTACAGAACAGGTCATAAAACGTTACCAAAATCACGTTAAACGGACTTGCATGAGACACAAAAGGGGGAATTAGATGTTTTAAGTTTTTATCAAAAACGACGGCGAGAAAATTTTATAATATCCATGAAAGCGTGAGGCAAAATTTTAGATTTTCCCTCAAGAAAATGCGGAAACATACGGAAAAATTCAAAGCATAACCCCTTCATTGGGCTAAACAATTTTCCATGGCATTTTTGGGGCAAAGCTTATTTTGCTAATTTCAGAAAACAAATTCAGCACAATAGAGAAACGCTTTAAATTCGTGTTGTTAACTTTGCTACTTATAGAAATGCCAAATCTGATTCAAGTTAATAAATGTTTACGTAAGCAGTCAATTGAAGCACTTGAAAAATCCAAGCGCTTTTTAGGTAAAATTTTAACGCATTTGCTTTAAAAGGCTTAAAAAAAATCGCGTTGCAAAACATGCCCTTTATCTTAAATCTTAAGGGAACGTTTTCTCCGTGCAAGAAAAATTCCATCTATACTTCGAAGACACGTCTGAAATAGTTCTGAAAGTGGGTGCAGTATCTTTTAAATTCAATTGACGCGTCCAGAAATCTTTCGCAAATGGTTCATTAAAATATCCCTGCACATTTCAAAGCAAAATTGAGGCTTCCTTTTTTGGATTACGACCCTGTATAATTCCTGGCGAGAAGAAAAATTGAGTTCCTCCGCGTGAAGCACGACCTTAAAGTCGCGAGGATTTCAAAGAAAATTCCCTCGCCAGTTTTAGTTCGAACACGTAACTCGCTCGCCGCAGAAATTCATTCATTCATTCATTCATTCGCCTATATTTTCATCGAGTAACATAAAAAAAAAAGAAAAGGAAAAATATATAGTGTATAACAAAAAAACGAAACGTGAATCGCCACCTGTCAGCGAAATGAACTCGCTGTACCTTGGGAAACTTCTGTTCACCTTCATCGTCGTCTTCGTCGCATTTCTACTCCAGGTGAAACTCCATTACGTAATTCCTTATTATGACGCTTAGACCGAGTTTCCTTCTTCGTGGTTTCTTTATACTCATCCCTGGAACAAGTTTCTTTTAGATTTATTCAATGAATTTACGCATGGTGAAATCTTAACTACGCCGTAACGTTACCATATGAGTCCGGTAGCAAAAGTTGAAGGAAACTCAACGCCTAGATTAAGATTTAAATTGCAACAGCTAGAATGAGAAAAAAGTTTCTTTAATTAAAATTCTATAAAAAATTAAGTTTATATGAATATTATTTAAAAAAAAAAGTCAAGATGAATATCATTCTCGCGAATACAGGGACTCTTTCTTTTCGTATATGGATACATTCTTGTCACGAGAAAAAAATCAAAGATCTTTTGTTTCATTCTTTGCCAAGCATTGTCGATCTCACATGAAAAGTAGTTTTATTTAGAAAATGCTCGAACAGACTAGCGTAAAATCATATTTCGTGTCTTTTTTTAAAAGGCATGCTTCCGGAAACTGCCTGTAAAGCATAAAAAATCCAACATCTTCCTCGTCTTGATGTAAAAAAAAAAAAAAAGGAATCAAAGGAAAAATTAATATGAAATTCACGTGGCGTGAAATTTTTCCCAATATTTCGGCTGCGAAACACTTGAAAAACAAAGTTGAAAAATAAATGCAGCTCGCTTAAATTTTTACAAAATAACTTCAAAATAAAAGTAAACATGTCATCGATGAAATGGTTCCTGTACATATCAGCATATGTGATTTATCAAAATTATCTTCGGTTTATACCTTCCACGTACAAATTGTAACAAATAATGAAAACTAACTCAAAATTTTCAAGAATTGTAAGACCTTGCACTGGATGATTAAACAGCTTCATACATGATACGACTATCGCATGATCATACTGTATGATAGGGAAACTGTTGTCCGAATTTCAAAATAAAATTCAGCCTTATTACTCTTATATTTGGTGGTTCATCATAAATTCACAGATGAAGTGCGAGATTTCATTTGATGATAAAAAATCCTTACAATATCACAAGTTTGCAAGAAACATAGTCAGAACCCTATTAATATTATAGAAATGAGAGGATATTGGACTACTGTACAGTATATGGTACGTGAAACATGATTCAAATAAATTATGCCTTAAATTCTGAAGCTGTGATCAAAGTGCTTCCTATTTTTTTAGGCTACTCCAGCTGTATATTTTTTTCGTTTTGAGTTAAAAGATCACGGTTTTTTAATGACAGAAAGTTAAATTGCAATGCAACTGCTGCGCTAAACAAGTATCGGATTCTGAAGGGGTACATCAAATCAATTCGCCATAAAAACAAAAACAAAAAAATTCAAGCAAGCTGGAACGTGCTGCATATACCGATTTGAACTCAAGTTTCCGTAACGACTCATCATCAACACCTCCTGCATGTTCATGTAACGTAAATAAAAATCTCCGGCGGCTGTTTCCATCGCACTTGTTCGTATATACGTAACTTCAACATGAGACCACTCGGTGTGAGCTGTAATTTGAACCCTGTCAGCTGTCTTACGTGGCTCTATATGTACTGTACGTTGGTTAATTTATAGCTTTTTTCGTTGTTTGTTTTTTGCTTGTTTTTTTTTTTTCTTGCCTCTCTGCCTGATGGTTCGGCGACGCAGGTAGTGACTGTTTGTTGGTTAATTTTTTGTTTTTTTCGTTGTTTGTTTTTTGCTTGTTTTTTTTTTTTCTTGCCTCTCTGCCTGATGGTTCGGCGACGCAGGTAGTGACGTCAGAAGAAGGAAGTAACCAGGTTTCTCCGTCATCGGGTCTTTCGAGCGGGCAAAACCAGTTTGTTAAAGCGCCCAGTGTCGGTGGAACAGCGCCGCCTCGGAGAGACGGTTGGGCGGCCCGGCGCCGACAACCCGACGCTTCGCCTTACCACAGGAACCAGCATCCCAAGACCAAGACGAGCAGGAGGAAACCCACGAGACCTAGGAAAGACGTGAGTCGCATTTTATGCACTATTATTCGTGGAGAAACCTGGTGAGATGAATGTGACTTAATTTTGCGAGCTTTTTTTAATATTTTTTGAGACTGTGAAGTTGCCCCATGAACGCGTTTGTCCTCCATTTCAGTAGCAGTGGAATCAAGAAGTAGTATTTTAAATTTCCTTGCATGAAAATAATATTCTACGATACTTCCTGTACTGTATTTTTATTGGGTATTTCATGGAACCGTTTCTCGCGAGATTCTAATTGAAAATAAAATAAAGGGCTGTGTTGCACAAATGCAACTTTTT